ATTATGCAAAACCCTAAATGATATCAAAGGCCAACACTTTCTACAATATCTCCAACTACTGTATGGTTAATGCGAGGAAACGATTTTACAGCAAATCAAACATAGTTATGATTAGGCAACAAAAACACTGACCACCTCATACTCACAATCCATTTCACCACTTCCCGTGTTGGCACTGGACATCGGCACTGGATGCAAATCATAACTAAAATGGACCTTCGTGTAGTTAACTGCTTGTGACCAGTTCAACCACAAAGTGTAATTTATAGGAAAAAAAGAAAAAATTAGAGGAAAACAACATGTGTTTCTGTCTTTCTCTCTTGTTAAATCATTTCAACCCTCTTTGGTTTAACTTGCATTTAATTGACAGGGTCCTGAACTCCAAGTATGGAAGCACTGCTGAATCAATCTATTTTTATAATAATATAATAATAAGCTTTATTTATATAGCACTTATCAAACAAAGTACAAAGTGCTTCACAACAAATCACACATAAAATACGAAAACAAATAACCACGTGGGTAAAAGATACAGGGGGATAAAATACAGAATATAAGAACAAGGATCACAATAAAGTATAACAAATATGTTCAGTAGGAGGTAATGAAGATAAGACAAGCAAACAAAGTGATAAGAACGGTAGGGCAGGAATAGTAAAAACGAGTGGCCATGAATAGCCTTAAAAGTAATGAGTAAAATATCAAAATCAATCCTAAAACAAACAGGGGAGCAAGTCCAATGATGCTAAAAAAGGGGTGATATGATCATATTTTCTTGTCCTAGTTAGGAGCCGAGCAGCTGAGTTCTGTACGGTCTATTTAGGGTTTTCTGATTAAGGCAAGTGAAGAGGCTGTTGCAATAATCAATGCGTGAGGAGATAAAAGCATGTATGTAACAGTTTCTGCATCTGTAACATTTAAAATAGGCCTTATTTTTGCGATATTTCTAAGGTGGTAAAAGCTGGACTGGACTAATTTAGAAACATGATGCTCAAAGCATAACTTACTATCGAATAGCACGCTAAGATTTCTTGCAACAGGCTTCACGTGTTGTAGCAGGTAGCCAGAAGAGAGCAGAATTTGATTGCAGAGATGTTGGGGACCTATAACCAGGATTTCTGTTTTATTGGAGTTAAGTTGTAGGAAATTATTTGACATCCAATGTTTTATGTCGGTAAGGCAGTCCTGTAATGAACTCATACATACATACATACATACGCATACTAAGGTCGGTGGGCTGTACAGGTAGGTATAACTGTGTATCATCCACATAACAATGGAAGGAGATACCATGCCTGTGTATGATATCACCCAGAGGGAGCATATATATAGAAAACAAAATAGGTCCAAGGATTGACCCCTGAGGCACACTGTAGTTGGTGGTAGAGAAAGAAGATTTATAGAGACACAAAACTTCCTGTTGGATAAGTATGAGGCAAACCAGTTCAGTGCAGTACCAGATACCCCCACCCAGTGCCTCAGTCTGTTTAACAGGATGCCATGATCAATGGTGTCAACGGCCGCACTTAAATCCAGCAGAACCAGTATTGAACATTTGCCCGCATCAGCATTCATCATTTTTAACGCTAATACAGGACACAAACAGAAACCCTCACATGTCCCTGTCTCTTAGTGACTGGGACACAATGGCTCCAGTGATGTTGTTCTGCTGGTTCTATCTGTCTTTCGGTGGCCCTTCCCAGCCTGCTCCGATGATCCCGTCATTATCACACCCTTAATGCATCTCACCACACTCTGCATTTCCTCTGGCATGCCATCCATCTGCCTAATGGGCCAGTAGGGTGTGGCCGGCCAGTCATCACTTGTGCACGCTGCTTTTGTGTGTGTGTGCGATTTGCACACGTCACGTATCCTTTTAATGATTGTTCTGGTTCATTTCAAGTAATCCGTGTGTAATTCTTTGTTTGTCAGTGTGCATGGTTGTGTCGTCAAGTTATATCCAACCCTTGTTTACGCCCCACTTGTTTGTTATGTTTGTTTGCAGTCACCTCCGTTACTGTGTAGGTGTGTGTGTTTGAAAAATTAATCGAAATATCATCAAAATCGCAAAATGACCAAGTGCAATATCCAGATCACAGGAAGGTAAACTGTGTTACAACATACCATTTTTTTTTTTAATGAACTATTGTGGTTCTACAGAGAGGAGATCTCCAGATGTAAGGGAACATGCTTGTTTGGTACAGAACCCAATACAAATCATATCATCATCATTTTTTCTGTGAAAATTAAATGCAATCATTACCATTTCCACTTTAATTGTGACTCATATTGCAATATCTGTCAAAATGATCACATTTTTTGCATAAAGTTCAGCCCTTCCTCTGCCCATGTCACTGTATGTGCTGTGTGCACTGTAGGGGTATGTGTGTGTGTGTGTGTGTGTGAGTGCCAGTGAACTCTCCTAACTGCGTCAGCCATTAGGCCATTATGGACTGTAACTGAATCCTCTGAAAGCTCCGCTCCCATCCACTGCTGCAGGGCAATGATGGATGGGTGTGTGGAGGGATGCAGTCATGTCAGAGCTGGACGGTTGTAAAAACAAATAGAGGAGTGGAGTCTGTAGATGGGTGTGCAGGAGAGGTAGAGAGCATCTGAGGTGATTCCCACTGTACCGGGCTGAGCAGACCTATGATCACTGACAGCGGGAAACCGCTTCGACCTTGCTGTTCTGCCCTTGGCTCTGAGTCATGAGGTAAAATATAAGAGGATTGTCAAGCTTTCTTTTTGTTCTTCTTACTATTAGAGAGAGAGAATGTGTGTGATTGTATGCGTGTGTGCACATCCATCTGATAAAAATGTTCAAGAAAGGCAATTTAAAGTGCTTGACAGGAGGAAACAGCCAAAAACAATACTCTACACAGGCTGACATTTTTCAGACATTTTTGGAGAGCATGTGCAGAGAAGATGTGTTATTTAGTGCACCAGTTCACAAAAGATAAATACAGCTCACCGGGGTCGATTAGCCTAAATGTTGGCATTGTGGAGAATTTGATGCCACTGTGTAACCATGTCCTTTGGTAATAGGCGTTTTTCCACTGAAGACATTTTGAAGTGTTACAGCAGGAAAAGCACAGGTGTAAATATTGATATTAATGATGGCTCAGCATGTTTACATGCACATTAGTATCCTGTTCTGCTCAGAATCAGGATATGGCATTTGCATGGAACATGAGAACATGGAACATGTTTTTTTATATTCCTGTTTACATGATCAGTTTTCAGGTTTCCTTACTGGCTGAGTTACCTCAACAACTGATTATGAGCACAATTTGGTTTTTTAGTCTGAACTCTACTGCATTTACCCGGATCAGGTGTTTACATACTGCATTATCCCGGTTTCTAGACCAGCTAACATAACCATGTTTCTCAAAACATGAGCACCCCCCCCCCCCCCCCCCCCCCCCAGCACCCCCATGTTAATTGCATTTGATAGAGCAAAGTTCATGTCTAAAGCTGTGAGGCTTGAGGCAGTGACTTAGCACCCAACACACACACACATACAATACAGCACACACACTGCACTGCCTCCATCTCCCAGACACATATGCAACTTCAACCACTAAATACCAAAACATATTGATTGTTATTGAATTGGCCCGTCCCCTGATGTCCGTGTTGAATTATTTAGTGTTTTGCACTTGCGTTGTTGACGTGCTAGGCCAGACCATCTATAGTGTCTCTGAGGCTCAGGGGGGGATTTGACAGGTAGAGGACCATTAACTAGTCTCCCACAGGTCTCACCTCTTCTCCTCTCCTTTAAACCTGGCCTCACCACTTACAAACCTCCTCTTCCTCGTCCTACTGCAGCCATGCTCCCCTCTCTGTCTCTCACTCCCGACTCACCCTGCCTGCCAGCTAATAGTGCCTGACTCATGTTATTCGCAGAGCTGTCTGTGTGTCAAGGGCAGCCTCAGAGGAAAGAGGGAGGATGGAGGGAGGGTTGAAACAGGAGTCGGATCAGGGACGGAAAGGGTGGGATGGGCGTACTGGAGGAGATGAGGCAGCGGAGGTACAACGAGGGATGAAGGAAAATTATTTTCACTGTATCATCAGATAAATTAAGACACTAGCAGAGAGGGAAGGAGTGATGGAAAAAGAAAGAAATGAAGGGAGAAGTGAAGTAAAACCTCAAGTGCTTGTAATCGCCAGAAGAATAGTGTTTGAGTGATCAGATATCTGAGCCATCAGCAGGCATTTAAAAGCTTTGGTGGACTAAAAGCAGTGTGTGTGTTTGTGTGTGTGTCTTTACTAATGAAGTTATTTCGATCTTAGCTGATCTCAGAGCTGGTGAGAATCACTACAGGGAAGTACTGCTGCATGACACCACTATAGGATTGATGACTAATGAAATACAATTGCACTTTGTGGTGTTTTTCAACTAGTAAAGTGCCAGTTGTTTCAGGTTTAGATCTCTTGGTCTCAGTTCTGTACTTCACCACTCACATCTCATCCCAAAAGGACTTCTGCAGTATCTGTCACTCACTTGATCTCTGCATCCTCCTCTCCTGCCCTTCTTTTCTCATCTCTCTCCTGCTGCCCTCGCTGCATATACAGCACATCTGCTAAGTCAGGAGAATAAATAAATATCTCCCATTCTTCTCTTTTGCACGTCAAGCTCAACAGCAGCATGTAGAGACATTACTCTCCCGCCGCAGGGCTCAAACTGCATGCATGACTTTTTGTGTCTTCTCCACATGGTGAGATATTAGTATTGGCTATTAATAGTCAGCTCTCTGCCATCCTGAGGAAGCACAGTGGAGGCTAGATTTCACCCAGGCTCTATTAAAAGGCACAGAGTGAGATGTCAGCAAAAATATCCCCGTCTTTGTTTTACACTCGCGGGATGTACTTGTCGTTTAAACTTCATAAAATGAGACTCGATGTGTCTGCGTGGACAAAATCATTATGACAATCCATTTTTTAAGCGTTCTCAACTTACAAGCGACTAACTTGTTCACTCCCGTCTTTCCTTCCTGCAGCGTGTCTGTTGCAGTCAGAGCTGGTGAACTATGAGAGAGTGAAGGAGTACTGCCTGAAGGTGCTGAGCCACCAGAGAGACCACTTCAAGGCCATGTACCGAGCCGGCATCGCCTTCTATCACCTGGGTGACTACGAATGTGCCCTACGCTACCTGCGTGACGCCAAGAACCGTGAACCCACAGGTGAGAGTAATTGTGAAACAATGGCACATGTTCTTTCTTTGGGTGCCATTGTAGACAGGAGTTGACCAACATGGGGGAGTTCACTGTACACGATTACAAAAATTTCATTAAAATCTAGTGATTCAAGATTGTTTTTTGAACTGATTATGTTTAAATTTGACTACTTTTACTACGGTTAACAGAACAAATAAATTATGAAAAGTAAAGTAAGTACTGTAGTTTAATTTAGAGACTGTGTTTTTGGTTTGTGGACAAACTTTTCTGGGAGTGGTGAGTTGGGGGTACTCATAACCTCAGTATTGCTAAACTGCTGGCTACAGTCTAGTTCTCCTGTAAAAGCCTCAGTTATGTTTACATTAATTCACATTTAAACATGTTGAATGCTTTCCCATCCTCAAAAAACATTTGCGGAGCTGATTTTGGGAATAACGCAAATTGTTTAAATCAATATTTGCTTACTAGGAGGCTGCTTCTTCTTCCCTGAAGTGGTAAGTCACATTGCTTCATTTCTTGAACAGTGGAATAGCTAGGCATAGGTACCACTGGCACCGAAGTTGCAGAGTTCGTAGCCTCAACACAGCTAGCAACCTGCACCACTCATCTGTTCTCTGATGAGCCACGTGTACCAGAGTCAACAAGCTTGGATGTTTAGACAAACAAAAGAGAGTTTGTCGCTGCGCATTTATCGTTCTGACATGAAAGAAGCATACACTTAACTGCATTCACAAATGGGATTGAAGTAAAGACGTGACTCTCTGCATCACATCCGCCACATTTCCTCTCTCCATCACAGACACCAACGTGCTGCGGTACATCCAGCTGACAGAAATGAAGATGAGCAAGAGCGGACAGCGGGAACGAGAGAGCGGCAAAGAGACCCAGGGCTAACCCTTGACCTTTTCACTCTCCTGACCTCTTGACCTTTGACCCTACAAGCAGTCCCTACATCGACCCTCCCTCTCTCCTTCTCCTCCTCCTCCTCATCCTCCTCCTCCTCCTCCTTCTCTATCGACTTGTGACAGCAGCACAGCCCGCAGACAGAAGAGACGGATCCAATCACCCGCCAACGATGGATAAAAACGGGGGAGACATATCAAGTACTGTCTGCAACCCAACCTCCTTTTCCTATTCTTCTCCCCCCTTACTCCCTCAGGTGCTGTGGTTCCTCTCCCTAGACGCAGACAGTCGAGCAAACATTAAAAAAACAACAAAAAAAACAAAGAAAATGATGTATTATATTCATATGACAGTCAATGTGGTGGAATGAAAAGGAGCTTCAAAACACATGAATAATGGACATTTGAGTAATTTAGTAAATGTTTTAAATACATAAAATGCATTTTGTTTCTTCTCTCTTGCTCTCTTTTTCTCTCTCCGTCTTATTTCAAACTCCTAATACTGGGGGTTGGGAAGCTCGAACACACCAGTGTGTGTATGTGTGGAGGCAGTGTCTATAAGCAGGGGATAATGAGGGGTGTTGGTGACACATATCAAGACCATAGCCCAATTTGATTGTACATCCTACCCTAACAGGGCTCACTCAGACCCCTTACCCAGATATGGGACAGACTAGCAAGAGAAATCAAGTAGAGAAAAGGCCTGCCTCTGCTCTTAATCTACCGCTCTCACTTTTCTTTCCTGAATACCATGTATCTCAGTTGCTGGACTGTTTTTTCAATTCAAGGGCTAATTCAAGTGTTTGTAATCGTTACTAGGGTTTTTCATTTGCTTTCGGTGTTCATCATAGGCTACTCAGTAGTAATTAATTGGTTGTTAATAGCATCTGTGTGGACAGCAAAATTATCCAGCGGTCCCCAGGTGTGCTATTGCGGATCTGTTGTCCAAAGCCCCTCCCGAGTCATGTGTTGTTGTTGTTGATGTTGTTGAGACTGTCGAAGCCCCTCCCTTCCTTCCTCCCTCCCTCCAACCCACTCTGTTCCCCTGTTAATGATGTCACAACGGAAAATAGCCAATGGGATTGGAGTTCTATCAACCGCCGTTGGCTCGATGGAGATCCACTCTAAAGTTTCATAGCGAGGAACACTTTAAAAATTTCTAAACGTAGCTCCAACCTTTTATCGCTAATGCTGAATCTTCCCAGACATCGATAACACACCAGGGAGACTCTGGGCAGCGTTAGTGCAGGGAAAAACAATCACACACGGCTGTCCTGGCAGCCCAAACCGCCACCTTGGAGCAGTCAGTGTTAGTGCACTTCAAAAAGAGTGTGCCATTTGAGATTTCTTCCTCTTTCAGTTTATTGTACATTGATAGATTAAACATCTGTGTTTGAAGAATTGTTCCAAACAGACAGATAACATACGGCATTAGCATTAGACAACACTACTGATATGGCTTGTGGCTCCATGGCTAGCTGTCAAAAGATACATAAATAATTTGCCACTGCTTCTCTTGTGACTTGTGAAGCAGAATCATTGATAATGCAAATATTGCTTTTATGATAGCTTTACCACAGGCTTATATCTGCCTGCCCTGCAGAAGGTTGGATTGACGATTTGTCAAAGCATGACCTAAAATTCCCTCGTCTCTGATGCCATGAAACTCTTTCCTGTGTGCAAGCACAACTCCTGCATGTAACGTGCGACTCCAGAGAGTTCTTTCAGATGTATGGGATAGGGATTATATCCTACTCTACTGCTTTCTGTCATGGCATGCTGCCACACTGTTTGCTCATACCTCTTTTTTATCTATTCTGCCCTTTAAATAAACACAGACGGTAGTGACAGACTGTGATCACAGCAGTAGAATAAGTATCACATAAATCTGGAAAAAGAGGTCTTTAATAAATGAGGGTCACCTTCGGCCTCGGCCAAGGTGAGGGATGAAGAGGTAATTTCACTGCTTAAGAAATTCAAAAGAGGGGTGGAAATCAAAGAAAGATGCTGTATTAGATTTCCCCTCCCCATTTTCCAGTGACCTGCTAAGAGGTGAATAGGGATCTAAGTGTGTCAATGGGACTCTGGAGAGACGACACCATGCGTTGAGGAGATCGGCATGATACAGAGAGGCTCCAGTGGAGGGAGAAGTAGGCCATCATCAGCCCCAGAAAGCAGCAGCAACTCCAAAATCACTCAGAGACAGGTTTAGAGATGGAAGATTTATCATCATACGTCATATGGCTGAAGACACAGGTGCATCTCAAAAAATGTGAATATCATTTTCATCCGTAATTTAATTCAAAAAGTGAAACTTCAATATATTCTAGAGTCATTACACATGAAAATAAATATTTCAAGCCTTTTTTTGTTTTAATCTAGATGACTTACAGCTCATGGAAATCAAAACTCGCATTTTCAAACAAAGAATTTATAATACAGAAACCGACCAAAACACCTGCAAAGGTTTCATGAGCCATTAATCTCTCAGTCTGCTTCTGGTGCTCACAATGAACTTTTCCACAATATAAAATGTTTTACATGCACCTGTCATATCATAGCTTACGTGTTTTCCTGGTCTTGATGGCTGTATTGCAGGAACATGATAACAGTTTCTTAAAGGAAACATTTCAACATTTTGGAAGGGGTGCTTATTTTGCTTTCTTACCGAGAGTTAGATGAAAACACTGATACAACTTTTTTGAAGAAATATGAAGCTGCAGCCGGTTAGCTTAGCACAAAGACTGAAAACAGGGGGAAACAGCTAGCCTGGCTCTGTCCAAAGGTAATGAAATCCACCTACCAGCATCTCCAAAGCTCACTAATTAACATGTTATATCTTGTTTGTGTTGTCTGTACAAAAACTGACTTGTAGAAACTTCAATTCTACACTATTTACTATTTCTCGAAGTTTCTGCTTATCTAACTCTCTCAAGAAAGCAAATTAATTTATTTCTCAAAAAGTTGAGCTATTCCTTTAAACTATCTGATCTTGCTGAAGGAAATAATTTGATGCCACTACTTTTCTGAGCAATTCTCATTACTAAAACTAATACAGCGATTATCATACCCAAAATAATGTGAAAGTCTTAGGAGCACTGAGTCAAATTAGACAGCATCACCCAGCTCTGGAGTTGAAGCAAAGACATAAGATGGTGAAGGCTTCCTTAGTCTTTTTTATTCTGGTATCCCAGAGGAAATGAATCAACAAAACAACAATGAGAATGGCACCTGCAGCCTCTGTCTCCATGGCTGCCTGGGCTGAGTCTACTCACCCACGAGTCCCTCGGGGATAGGTCTCCTCCCGTGGTCCTCTCTCCATGGCACCACACCGCCATCTTGTTTTTGTCTCGCTGTGCTAAGTCTTTCTAGCTCAACGTGTACTACGACCGTCTTGGGGATAACTAGCTGCACATAAGACATTAGGTTAATTTCTGGCTGATCAGTTCTTTTAATAATGGCAGAGCTGACTCCAAGGCTGTTATTGTGAGCATTAATCCGACAACACTGCTGTATGTGCAAATAGAGATAGAGACACCTGATGTCTACATCAGTGTAGCTTTGAAAACAAACAACAAAAAGCACAACAACAACAACAAAAAAGAGACGGAAAAGTCAAACTACTGGCTGTGTGATTTTTTGCTTTTTTGCTTTGATGTCATTTGAGGTAAATGTTTGTCAAATGTCAGAGTTGTTTTTGTGACTATATGATACAAATGTACAAAAAAATAACAAAAATGGAAAGGTTTATGGTTGTGAAAAGCTTTACTTAAGGAAATTACTTTATCAACGGGAAAGAAAAGTAAGAGATGGAAAAGAGAATTTTACCACAGCTCCTCCACAGAGCTGCTTTGTGACTGTGTCTGTATTTCTTGGTACTTCTGTTGATGTCCCTTACGTCAGGGGATCCAGAATCGGCTCAGATTGTGTGCAATGCCCTTTGACCCCCTCCCACCCCCGTCCAAATGACCTTTCACCCGACTCATCTGTTTCTGCACAGTAAAGCGACCAGTAACACAGTGGAGGAGAACTCTGATGAACTCGTACCAGAGCACAGCGCTGCTCCTCACAACCACAGATCTCCATCCTGTCTGTTTCTGTGTGGATGGAGAGAGGGGGGAAAAAAGGACATCAAGCTGGGGACGTTAAGGCAATGACTGCGTTTCAGGCTTCCAAGAGGCCTTTTTCCATTCAACATCCAAACATCACCGGCCTCCATCACTGGTTTTACTTAACTGCTAGCCCGGGAATGCACTATTGATTGGTAAATGAAGATTATGAATAAAGTTTCAAACAAAGAGGAATGTTGTTGTTGCTGTTGTTTTGTGGTCAGAACAAAGTGTGTTCACGGGTCTACTACTGCATGTGTGATCACAAAAATAAAGCCTTTTGTGGCTCCAGAGGGAGCTGCACAAGGTCTGATAAAAGCACCAGGTGGGGCTGGACTACAAGTCTGACAATGAAAAAATCTTGGGGTCTGGAGGTAGAAAGAATAGAGTTCACTAGACCTCTGTAGCCGCTTCTCATCTCTGCTTGAGGCTAACGGTTCGAGGTTATGTTAGCTGCCACTACCATAACACCCAAATCTGTGCTGTCGAGTGAATTGATTTGAGTTGCATTGTGGATAATGTAGGCACCAGGTTTTGCGTGGAAGGCGATATCTCTGGTTCTGCTGCATTGATTTTAATACTTTTTTAACTGTCCATAGTGAGTTCGATAGTATTATAGGAGTGCAATGCTAAATTAGTGAGAACTCTTTTAAAGAAATGCTCCTCCAATTTTACACATGAAGAAGAAGTTGTATAATTTCTTCCATGGTGTGGTGATTTTTAAAGTCCATTCTTGACCTTAGGAAACAGCAGTTGACAAGATCCCTTTAGCAGCTGTTCTGGAGCTTTCACATGATCTTCATCAGCAGACAGAAGTTTCTCGGTGACATGAAACTGTAGATGTTCAAATGTTCTTTTTTTTTCCACTGAGCACTCATCCATGATGCCTTAAAGGTTTGTTCTTGACCTTAAAACCAGCTGTTGACAAAACAATCTCACCTCAAGGTCCATATGGTAGCTGCTCTGGAGCTTTCAGTCATTTCACATCATCTTTATCAGCAGATGGGAATTGCTCAGAGTCAAGGAATTGCAGACATTCAAAGTTTTCTGACCACTTTAAGGACTTTGTGTGGTTTTAAAGTTGTCTTTCAAAGTTATAATGATCATTATGTGATACAACCGAAAGCGCCAGAGCAGCTAGGCCCACTAAATGGATTTTGGTGGTTTTATTTGGATGGATGGATGATGTCATCAGGGCTTTCTCAGGTCTTGCTTGGAGACTGCACTTTTTACTACTTCAAAACCTCGGGGAGTGAAGTTTGAAAGATGTGTGTTAATTCTACCTACCAGGTAGGGAAGGGTCAAAAAGATGCTATTGGTTGCATTATGGGAAATTTAGGACCCAGTGTTTTGACCAGAATTTTTATCTGCAATTTCATGACACTGAGCAAACTCCATAATGCTTCTAAATAGACATCTCTCTCTGAACTTTATGGAAGTACATGCCACAACATGGCTCAACATTACTTGTTTGTTTTGCAGGTCTGGTTATAGCTCACCTGACCCCGGCATGCTCAGGTGAGCTATGTCAGTGACAAGCTCTCAGCCCCACCCTCCTGGAATAAATGAGAACAGCAGAACCAACCAGAGAAGACGAGCTGTGCTGTCACAAATACTAAATAAAATACAAAATCGAAGTAGCAGAGGTTAAAATATCCAGAAATTTACTGCTTATATACTGTCCCATAATGTAACCAATAAGAAATTTTTGTTTTTCCTTTCCTGCCTGGTAAAAGCAGAGTCTGAAGTCTGAAAGTTCCCTGCACTTTCTTCTTCAATTTCTTTGTGCTCTCTCCAATGTTGGCTCAAGTAACTGTGCCCTTAAAATACTTTATACAGATTCTTTTACAATACAACTTCCTTCATGGTTTAATGATCTGATAAAGAAAGACAAACAGAGTGCTTGTGCAGATCTGAGGACACGCCAACTGGCAGGCAATCTGGAGAGTTGCTTGCTTCAAAAGTGAACACAAACACACACATTTGTATAACTTTGTATACCTCTCCTCTTTCTGTCTCTCTTCTCTCCTCATCATCTACATCACTATCACCACCAGAATCTCCTCCTTTTCAAAATATGACACGATGAAACAAAGGAAAAAGGATACACCGCAGGAAATATGGTGAAAACTGTTGGGGAAACCATGAAGGGAAAGACGGAGAAGGTGACAGATTCTCCCCTCTCTTTCTACCAAACAGAATCCTGTATGCTGGCTCTTTAACACCTCCCTCTCTCTTCACTTCATTTTCAGGCCCATCATCCCCCTTTTTCCCCTTTTTCATTTGTTGTTGCTTTTAATAGCATCGCCATAGAAGTGAAGAGGGGTTGCTAGGTAACTGGCTGGCGTCTGGAAAGGTGTTTGATCGGTCACACTCGCAGACAACAGTAGAGTGGTGTGTGTGAGGATTTGTGTGTGTGTTTGTATCATAAGTAGACGCCGCATGTGCCTGGATCCATATTTGCATCCAAAGGTTGTCATGTCGGTGTAAAATATCAAATTTTGTTTTGGATTTAGAAGATTTATTTTAGCCCTAACATCTCAAATTGAATCCTAAAATCTCAGCTGATGGCATTGAACACTTGAGTGAACCTTCATCTGCCTTTTTATGGTAACTGCAGTATCAGAGAGCGGCTATAGGAATTCATTACATGAGGAAAAACGGCAGACTTAGAAATAATGTGACATCATAGCAAACTGTGATGACACCTAGAGGATTTTGTCTGCTACTGCAGTCGCCTTTGTCTCTGCTGGTACACGCAGATAATCAAAGTGTTCCTGAAACAGCAACAACATGACATCCATTAGTGTACATTTACTCAAGTGCTGTACTTTGTACTTCACTACATTTATGTGACAGCTGTAGTTGCTTTGCAGAATAAGATTTTATATTGAAAAACATACAATAAACCCATGTAATACAACTCATTGTTAAAGACTTAAGCAGTTGTTTACAACCTTTTTGGCCTGTGACCTGTCATGTTTCAGCTGACTATGATTTGTTTATTTCTCAGATAGCTTAATTCAAATAAATGTTCAAGGCTCATGAAGGAAATATTGTCATTAAACATTACAGAAAAGTGAAATTCTTTAAGATAAATTTGGGTAGCAGAAGAGTTTTTTCTTCTTTCCTTCCATCAATCACCTCACGACCCCTCAAATCTGTCTTGTGAACCATTGAAGGGTTACAAGCTTCACCTCGAGTAGCTACAACAGTATCATGCTAAAACACTGACTCATCAGAATTAATCTAATGATGTCCTATATAAATCAGTCAAGGGGCCATTCTACTGCAGAACGAGTACTTTTGATACTCTGAGTACATTTTGTTGATAATACTTCCTTACTTTTACTGAAGTAGGATTTTAAATTCATTCCTTTTGCTTGTAAGTAAGTATTTTTACATTTGTGTATCGCTACTTTTACATAAGTAAAGGCTCTGAGTACTTCTTCGATCATTGCTCAGATATTATATGATCTGATGAAGTTCTGTGGGATTACCTCATGGATATAATGGATGGATTTTTAAAAAATGTATATAGAACTGACAGTGAAGCATCTTTCTTTTCTTTTTTATTCGTCTCTCACTCATCACATTTCGCACTTATTCCTCAATGAACCCAGAAATGTCACAGGTTGAGACTGGAGACAGCATGGACGTTTCAGTAAGCAGTTGGTTCTTGTTTTTTCCTGTTATATTAACAAATATATACAGGGAGAGCATCGTAATAACAATAAGGAATCCTTTCCATTAATAACAATAAATTTAATAAATACTCAGTGTCCTTAACCACACGAGGAGAATGAGTTTGGGCTCACTCTACAGATGGGATTGTCATCATCCCATACAAATAACACACACGCATATTCACACACACACACACACACACACACACACTCACTTAGAGAAATGCGCACTGTCAAGTAAATGCCACCTGCAGCCAAGATGAACTGTCCACTGTGCGAAAACAACTCCGCAGATAAGGGTTGATTTGTCAGCCGTGACTAGAGTCCACTCGTCCACTGAGAGACTAACTAGTTGCACAACATGGCTCCTAAAGTGCCACTGATGTTGAATACAAGAGGTCAGAGGAAAATATTAAGCGGTCCAACATGAACATGAGGTCAACGTTGAAGTCATTATTCTGCAGTGTTTTCTTCTTTCTGGTCCATTTCAGTGGCATGACCGGGATCCATATAGTACAGAGTGCTACTGACCGCTAGTGAGGAATGTTTTTGTCAACAAAATAAAAAATAATAAAATTTAAATAAAAACACTCCACACTTGTACAGCGATATATACACATTCACACAGAGATTAACACACCTGGTCTGCCAAACCAAGACAAAAGCATGTTGTTTGCTAACAGGTAGTGGTAGTGGTGGGTGCAAGCACTGAGAATATAAACTCTGTTTTTTACTGGACAAGGTTGAGGGTGTAAGCAGTCCACCAGTGCAGTCAGAAAAAAGGCTAGTCTTGGAGGGAACGACGGGACGATCACCCCGCACAGAGAGACAACAACGTGAGGATGAAGGAGAGTTTATGGAAGATGTTTGTGCACCGGCAGAACGAACGGCGTGCAAAATAAGAACAAGTACACTCACTATTAAGAATTTCAAATAGTCCAGCTCCAGCTTTTTGTCTGGGAAACACTCCTGAAGCAATGAATGTTTTGGTGAAATGTGATTTTTTTCTTTATGTGAGAGACTGAACAGATGCAAGCAGAAATTGGACAGGCAAAAGCACAAGCAGATGGGTAGAAATGAACATTTAGTCAACAAGTCAGAAAGTGGCCTTTTAAGTAATTGAATGGCTTTTGAAGGTTGTGAGTCTCGTAGGAAATGACTGGTCATGACGCACTAAGAAGCAGGTGGAGAGAAGTGTTGGGTAAGGTAGGTGGTGAGCACACTACAAGGCTTTTAAAAGGCCTCTAGGACCCTCGGTGTCGTGCAGGTTAGAGAGCGCTATCAGGGAAAGGCTTTCACACCTCATTAGGACACTAAAGGGGCACGTGGGACGAACGGCTTTCTGTAAGTGCCTAAAACATGACAAGTGGGATGTTTTTCCAAACTTCATCGAGTGCACTTTGTTCGGCTCAGACATCAGTACTCATTCTGTATTCAGCCCATGCTCTAACGTCCTGGAGCAAGTTTGAACACAAAACTGTAGACTTGGAAATGTCCACTTGCCGTTTGTCCCTACGAGTATTGTTGTCCACAAAGAGTGGCAGGCTGCCGCTGTCCACACAGAGGTACAGTGGGGTCCGCACTCTGGCCCTCCACGTCCATGTCCATCAGGTTGGGTCGTGCGGTGCTGGCGCTGCTGTCCCCTGAACCGAGGGGGCTGTCGCAGCTGCTGCCTGGCGACGAGCTGAGGGTCCGGGAGAGAGAGCCCAGCTTCCAGGGGTCGGCTCTCATCCTGACAGGGGTGGGCCGCGGCCGGGGGGCAAACTCCAGCGTCTTGGGTCTCTCCAGGGGGCTGACGAGGCAGAGAGGATCCGGGTCAGGGATCGGCGGAGCGGGGGCTTTACGCCGATGTGGGACTGGGAAGAGGGTGGAGGGGTCGGGGAGGCGGGGGATGTTCAGGGTGTCTTGTGTACCTGAATAATGAGAGAGAGAGAAGAATGCAAAAAAAGTATTTCATTGTCATTGTTCAAGCAAAAATGACCTTAATGTCTTTTGGTTGATGAAGAATTATTTACTTCCTCCCGTATCAGCACCTTGAACACACCAAAAGGGAAGGGCTCTCAGTTGCGGCCCAACTTTGACCTATATAAATAAACAGAGGTACCATGACGCCTGTAGTGGGTTATCTAAAGCTCTATCAAGCAAGGTTTAATATACTACTGGTGTGAATTGATTTAATGGCTGACCGGAAGGAAAGAAATCAATTCTTTTCTTCATGGCAAGAATGTGATTTCTTTCATGTCTTTCAGGTTGTACTTTATTGTCCCTTCTTGTGAATGTTCTTCATAGACATTGCATGTGTGTGATCCCATGTGACTGTGTGTGTTCTCTATTCACTATTTAAATTAAGCTGCCATTTTGTCCGGCTTGCTCCTGTAAAAGAGATGATGTAAAGAATGGAACAAATATTGGATGAATTGTAGTTAAACTTTCCTTTTCAACAGCTGGCACCATCATCTATGTGTTCACTAATCCAATGAAGAACACTACCGTTCAAAAGTTTGGGGTCACTTGGAAAATTCCTTGTTTTGAATAGAAAAGCAATGGCCATTAAAATAACATCAAATTGATCAGAAAAACATTGTACACATTGTTAATGTTGTAAAGGGGGCTGAATCTTTTGTTTATATGGCTTTTCCTTTGCCACTCTCCCTAGAAGGCCAGCATCTTGGAGTCGCCTCTTCATTGCTGATGTTGAGACTGGTGTTTCCGGGTACTTTTTAATGCCGCTGCCAGTTTAGGACCTGTGAGGCATCTTTTCTCAAACTAGTTTGCGCTGTTCTGTGAAGGGATTAGTACACAGCATCGCAATTTCTCGCATGGAATAGCCTTCTTTTCTCCGAACAAGAACAGTCTGGTGAGTTTCAGAAGAAAGCTCTTTGTTTCTGGTCATTTTGAGCCTGTAATGGAACCCACAACTGCTGATGCTCCAGATACTCAGCTAGTCTAAAGAAGGCTGGTGTTGAGCTGTGCTACCATGATTGCAAAAGGATTTTCTAACGATCACTTAGCCTTTTAAAATGATCACCTTTAGCAAAACACAACATGCCGTTGGAGCACAGGGCTGATGGTTGCTAATAATGGGCCTCTGTAGATTTTCCATTACAAATCAACCGTTTGCAGCAACAACAATCATTTACAACATTAACAATGTCTACACTATTTATGAGTAAGTTAAATTTATTTTTATGGACAAAAAATATGCTTTTCTTTCAAAAACAAGTGACCCCCAACTTTTGACTGGTAGTGTATCTCGGCTGCAAACTCTTAATCTTGTTGGTAAAGTGGCAAAAATCCATCATATGTTCCTTTAACATTGTATGTTTTAAATGATTTATCACTGTACCTTTGTTAGTAGTCCTGTGTGGTGCTCCCGGTGGAGGAGGCATGGGCATGCTTCCATCTGACGGCGTCCTGTGATGTCCCAGAGTTTGGGCTCTGGGTCGTATCGCCCCATCTGACGGGGTCCGTCGGTGTCCTCTGTTCAGGGCCATGGCTGCAGACACATGGGTGGGTGTGAGCGACTGGTTGGGCTCCTTCTTGAAGCTCTCCGCCCGCAGGTCCAAGAGCGGGTTGAGGGCAGGAGCTGGTGGTGCCACCGGTGTTTTGACCCCTGTCACCGGGGTCAGGGGGTACTCGTCTGGGTCGGAGGGAAGGAGGGACTTTGTGGAGTTGCAGTCAGACAGAGAGGACAAAGAAAGGAGTGTGACAGAGGGAGATGGGTCCATGCAGGGGAGTGCTGAGTCGTGATGTCTCGAGAGGGAGAGGGAGAGGTTTCGGCTGGGCGGAGAGGTGCTGCGACGGAAACGTCCCGTCCGCTGGAAGAGGCCCTCCTTCTTCTTAGGCTGCTCCTCTCTGAGTTCCTGCTCATCCTGAAGCACCTGCCAAAAACATCATGTCACAAAAACAAGCTGTGAGGCCACTGAGAAGTAGTCTTACTGAAATAAATTCAGCTGGAAAACAAGAACACAGTGAACAGCTGGGGTCATTTCACCTGCTGTATTACTTCTTTGATAATCAATTCATCACCCTACTAAAGGCGCTACAGCAAAAGAATACATCCCAATTATTACTTTTATTGATCCTCTCCTGTGTTTACTCTGTATCTAGACCTTTGGTGACTGGTTGAAAATCTTCAAAGAGATCTTCACAGAATTAACAAGGTGCTGGAAACCATCCACGTAGACCTCAGTCCATGCTGACTCAACAGCATCGCACATTTCCTGTTGATAATTTGGCAGCTCATTCATCCCATTTCATCTCATCCAAAAGGTGATCTATTAGTCTGAGATCTGGAGACTGCGCAGCTGAGTTGAAACACATCACTGTCAGGTTCCTGCTATGACTAACACATGGTGCGTTATCCTGTTGGAAATATTTAAATTATATATATTTTACTGGATGTAAGTGTCTCTGTGAGCAAGACGAAGCTGTTTGTTTAAACAGGGACATTACCTGATAAAAGGAGTAAGGTATGTGTGAATGAATATTCTTTATTATCCTGTAAGGGATTTTTTGTTTGCAGACAGGCTTGTAAATAAATGCAAATAAAAAGACCCAATAAAAACAAATAAAAAACAATAACACTTCAAATACTGGCGAGATAACGAGCGATAACCAGAGAGAGTTGAGTGGAAATGACGACTGCTCCAGTTTAGACGCGATCAGTCCCAGAAAGAAAACTAAAAACTATAAACCTGAAATATCAGCTAACTTTACTTACATACTGCAAAAAATAATAAACTGTATATTTGCATTTTGCAGAACATGTTGTTCCATATGTGACATAAAAATATTTTTTATTTTGCTATTGTTTGTGTTTCTGTGGTAGTCAGTTTATTTCAGCAATGTTACATTTGGTAATAAAGATTTGGTTTGTTTATGTTTGGAAACAGTGTACTGAATTGTTTTGTGTGCGTATTTATTTTACATATCATATATTATTGTTATGAGCAGTCATAGCATTTGTGAGCAGCTCTGAAAAACGCTTGATACTTAAATGTAAACTTACTGCATCTTTCAACTGTCTGGCTCCAGCAAAACAACATATGCTGATGCAAGCAGCGCAAGCCTCCTAAAGCTTTCAAAATAAACTTACATTTTACATGAAAATTTTCAAGTATAAAATCTATTTTACGCCCAGAAAACTGACCACGTTGGTACTTAATTGTTGATGTACTGGGAGTGCCCTGGCATTGCATGGTATCTTCCACTCAATTTTATTTACTTAAACAGACATAACTTGCTGCCCCAAATTACTACTATTGAATAATTACTCTTCTTCTTCTTTGTGGTTTCATGGCAGTTGGCATCCAAATTGTTGCATTACCGCCATCTACTGAAAGAATTAGTTTCCCAGTGCAAGGAATTTACAGTGCCCACCCAAAATACTCCCATTCAATACATTGTCCGTTCTATGACTCAGAGGTCTGAGATGGTGTAAATCCTTCCCTCAGCGTGGTGACTATTTCTTCTCCTGATATGTCTGCAATGTCCAAGAATCTCCTTGCCGCATTCAACAGCATATTGATCCTCTCTGTCCACAGCACAATTAACCACCATAGCAATAAATGATAGAATTTGCTTCTTGTCCATGCATATCATATTCCGCTCAACTCCCTGCCATTTTGGCTCCTGTTCGTTTTGGCATATGATATACCCACTTCTGCTCTGATTTTACTCACTTTTGTTTGTCTTAATTTTTCCGGAAATTGTGCTGACCTCGCACGGTGATTTACCACACAGTGAATGCACTTTATTTTTTCCTGCTTCTCTTCACACTCCTCTCTTTCACAATTGTTCTTCTCACATCTCCCACATCTTCTGACTCCTGTACATACTGCCGCCACATGTCCATACTCCTGACAACAGAAGCACCTTAATGTTGCTCTTTCATAAGGCCTCCTGTAACATACATAGAAATATAGGCCTACCCTCTCTGGCAAATCTCCCTCAAAAGTCAAACATACCAAATTACTTTGTTCCCTTCCTCCTTTTCTTCTCGCCTCACATACACCTTCAATACCCCGAAATTTTTCGTCTTTCACTGACAGCGGTACACCACTTATTACTCCTTTCTTTTTAATTTCTGACCTGAGTGGAAAGCATTTCAAACTGCTATAATGTTTGTACATTTTAATCCTCTAAGCCTGATCTCTGTACCGCCTTGACACATAGTCAATGATAACCATCCCACTCCTTGTTATTTTGATCGATCGAACATCTCCAAGTTTATCTCCGACGAACTTTCCAGCCTCGTGTGAATCCTTGAAGATCCCATCTGTTCTTGTCACTGCTATCACACCAACTTGATACCTGTCATCAGTTCTTCTGGACCCACTCCAGTTTGCTTACCAGCCCCAACTGGGAGTTCAGGACACCCTCGTATTCCTGCTCAACCGCATCTACGCCCACCTGGACAAGCCGGCGAGCACTGTGAGGGTCATGTTTTTTGACTTCTCCAGTGCTGACTTCACCATCTGGCCGGCCCTGCTGGGTGAGAAGCTGACAGCGATGCAGGTGGATGCCCCCCTCGTGTCCTGGATTATTGACTAACTGGCAGACCACGGTATGTGCGCCTGCAACACTGTGTGTCAGACAGCATGGTCAGCAACACCAGGGCCCCGCAGGGGACTGTCCTCTCTCCCTTCCTCTTCACCATCTACACCACAGACTTCAACTACCACACAGAGTCCTGCCATCTTCAGAAGTTTTCTGATGACTCTGCTGTGGTTGGATGTATCAGCAAGGGTGACGAGGCGGAGTACAGAGCTGTGGTGGGGGACTTTGTCACACGGTGTGAGCAGAACCATCTGCAGCTCAACGTGACAAAGACTAAAGAGCTGGTTGTGGATCTAAAGAGAGCCAAGGCACCAGTGACCCCTGTTTCCATCCAGGGGGTCCATGTGGACATTGTGGAGGATTACAAATACCTGGGAGTGCACATGGACAATAAACTGGACTGGGCCAAGAACACGCAAGCCCTCTACAGGAAGGGCCAAAGCCGTCTCTATTTTCTGAGGAGACTGAGGTCCTTCAACATCTGCAGGATGAGGCTGAGGATGTTTTATGAGTCTGTGGTGGCCAGTGCTATCCTGTTTGCTGTTGCATGGTGGGACAGCAGGTTGAGGGTAGCGGATGCTAACAGACTAAACAAACTGATCCGCGAGGCCAGTGAAGTTGTGGGGGTGGAGCTGGACTCTCTGTGAGTGGTGTCAGAGAGGAGGATGCTGTCCAAACTACATGTCATCTTGGACAATGTCGCCCACCCACTCCATGATGCACTAATCAAACACAGGAGCACTTTCAGTGCAAGACTCATTCCCCCAAAATGCACCACAGAGCGCCACAGGAAGCCATTCCTGCCTGTGGCCATCAAACTATAACTCCTCCCTTTAAGTGTCTGACACAGTTATTAAACTAGACCTCATTATCTATTTTCTGTCCAATATTACCTGTTTAATAATTATGTGCAATATTCTCTGTTGCTATTTATTCACTAGTCCTTTTTGGTTCACCATAATAATTCTTAATAATGTAAATATTGTACATACCCACACACCAATATATTTGTCTTTATTTTTTTATATTTATACTATTATATTTATATACTCTTTATCTATCTACCTTTGACAAGTGCAATTGTGACAAAGAATTTCCCCTAGGGGATCAATAAAGTATTTCTGATTCTGATTCTTCCTTGGCTACCATCACTTCAAACACTAGGCTATCCTTCTTTCTTTTCTTATCCACCAATCTCTTGTATCCACTTCCTTTCCTGCTTCACTCTCCATGCTTTCCTCTGACTCCATTTTCCCACCAACTCCGTGTGCCTTAATGATTACTCTTCCTTGACAACAACAATAAATCTCATTTGATCTGACAGCTGCAGAAGAAATTGCGTGACCATATTCACTGGCTGTGTTTTTTACTACTTCTTATTGGAAATATCAGTAAGGGGAATCCATGGGAATTAGCAATACACTTACTATTATTTATTAGGGCTGCACAATTAATGTAATCGCAATAGCGATGTCGTCATGTGCTATTAGGCCTACATAACTGCAAAAAGTGTGTGATTTAATAAAACAGAAAAGGTGTGCATGACGCTCTCTTCTCTATGCGCGCTGCAGTCTGCTCATTATCTCCGCCCACACCAGGCTCTCGCATGTGCCCATAAAAACAGATAAGCCTGTGCAATGAGAAAACAGATTTATGAGCAGTGTGCGAGTAACTTTTAGGACAACTACCTACCGTAACCCCCCTTCCCGCCCCGCCGCTAATCATTCAAAACATAGTTGGACTCTCAAGGAGCACTGAGAGAAATGCCGGTGCTCTGGTCGCTCTGTGACAGAGACAGAGAGACGTCGGCAGCAGCTGAAGCGGTCAGACGGAGAGGAGAAGATAAGGAAGGTTTGGGTTTGGCTCTCTAGCCAAATAACGTTAGTGTATCGGTGCATTTAGTTGTTCAACATGTTCAATTTTTCACAGAGCCAACGTGCTTGTCAATCACTTTTCTTTTATTTTCGTTTGACCAATCATACGCATGGATGAGGCAGGACATTAATAAAAGTTTGACATTATTTAATGCTGAACAATATGATTATTGACCAGTTAAGGCTTAGCATTAAAGAATGATGTGGAGACTTTTGCTTGCACAAGGATTAAAAAATAAAAACAACCCACAGAAATTATAATTAATGTAGTATTATAGTTATACTAACAGTATAGCCTACTGTTAACTAAACATTATGCTCTTTATTTAATACACTCATGTACAGTTCCTCCTCCAGGTTGTGGATAGAGACTCTGCATTGGACAGATGTACATAGAGCCTGTGCAAGTGTGCAAATATTTGCTGCTTCTAGCTGCCTCCTCAAGTAGAGCAACACGCTCTCCTTGTTCTGTTTTACATCTGTTTTACTGGTTATTGTTATAAATATTGTTTATTGTTTAACTTTGTTCAAGTTGAGAAATACACATTTCAAAATGTCAGTATTTCACGCATTCCTTGATAACTAAGCAAGTAGATTCATAGTACCATTTGTTCCATTATTATCAAATCTCAATATTGTCCACAATAATCGCAATATGACTGTTTCTCAAAATCCATATTATTTATAATATTGGAGATATATTATAAACAACATAATATTTTTATCCATCCATCCATCCATCCATCATCAACCGCTTATCCTACGTACAGGGTCACCAGGGGCTGGAGCCTACCCCAGCTGACATCGGGCGAAAGGCATGGTACACCCTGGACAGGTCGAATATTTGTATGTTTGGTTCAAAATATGTTCCAAGCAGTCTTGTGGTACTTTAATTAATTAATTTATATTTTTATCATGTAATTTCTATGATTTACAGGAATAAAAGTGAGGCTGAAAAGAGACAGAATTTTCCTTTAAGGTAAACTTAAGCAATATTGACCTGTTCGTAAAGGCCCGGTGGTTCCTTCTCTTGAGGTTTTGTAAATGAAAGCTCAAGCAGTCACATGATGTTTTACACAGTTTTCTCTCTCTCAGTTCTTTCTGCTGTCTCCTCACCTGTAGTTTTCCCAGCTGAAGCAGGTCTTGTCCGAGGGCAACAGAAGCGAGCAGAGAGGCGCAACCCAACAGCAACATGTCACTCTTCTTCCTCTGGCTGCAGCGTCGGAGCGAGTCCTGGTAGCTCGCCCCTGTCCCCAGCCCGCCGGGCCCCTGACAGGAGCTTGTATTACCGAGAGCAGGCACCGCGTTTTGCCCCAGGCTGCCCCACAGGGACCCCGAGTCCTCCACAGCCCCGTTACTGCTAGCATCTGAGGGCAGTAAGGATCCTGGTGACTCTTCAAACTCACCGCACTCCTCTGTTCAAGAGAGAAAAGAAAGGAAATAAAAAAGGGTTTAGATGGGGTTCATTCTTGTCTCTAAGTTAGTGATGCACAGCTCACAATAAAAAGAAAATAATAATAATAAAAAGACTCACCCATTTCGTTGAGGCTGGAGAAGCCAGCAGTCATGGGTGCATGTTTGGGGGACTTGCCCAGATTTGGTGCACTGGAGGACCAAACCTTAGATCCCTCACCCAGTGATTTCAGTCTGCAAACAGATAAAATGATGTCCAGACACCAAATCAGGACTCATTTCTAAAACATAAAGTAACTAAGTGCTATCAAAAAGGTTCATGTCTTATGGGGACAGCCATCAAACAAAATAGATCTGCTGACAGACTGTAATGAGTTATTGACTGAAAGGTTTTGTTTCTCAGTGTTACGAAGCTATGAGCAATAATCTGTCCAGAAAAATATAAGAAAAAGCAGTTTCTTCTCACCTGTGAGATAACTGTTCTCTCAAAGGGTGAACACAAAACAAACTTTGTCACTGTTGTTTTGTGTTGCATGACATTTAACCTCTTTCTAGGAAACACTGATATTCTGTTTTAGAAATTACAGATTAAAATCTATACACAAAGAGAGATTTGTTTGTTCCACAGCTAACCTGCTGTTAATTAAATAGACAGATCCATACAAAAAGCATTTTACTTAAAAGTACACATTTGAGGCCACTATACACTTCCGCTCCGCTACATCTCAGAGGGAAATTTTGTACTTTTTAAATCACTACATTTATCTGACAACGTTTTTTTTTTATTAAACTACCCAACAGTTTAACAGAAGTACAGCTGATTACGTATGGTCATTTAATCAATTAGTCGACTGACAGAAAACTAAACATCTGTGAAGATTTGCTGCTTTTCTCAGAAGAGATGAGTTTTCAGGAGGGATGCCCCTTACATACTTTTTCTCAAGTAACATTTTCAACACAGGATTTTTACTTGTAACGGAGTGTTTTTACAATTATTGTATTAGTAGTTTTACTTAAGTAAAGACTCTTTATACTACTTCCACCACTGCCAATTTCAATAACGTATAATTTAACTTTTACAGTGTACAGCTTTCAGACCCATTCATCCTGACACGTTGCTGTCATCATTTATCATAAATGTTTTAATACGAAAAGGTAAAAAACAGACTTTACCAGGTAGGATTTTACATTCATAACTGGTGTGTAAACAAACTGTGCATATACTTTTCCTCCCCGCCGACCCTCTCTTTCTGGTGGGTGGAGCTCGGTCCCCAGGTGCGGCCTTTCTTCTTGGTGGCCGACAGGTCTTCCTTCTTACACACAGCACTGCGACCCCACGTCTTACTGCCGTCGCTCGGTGTCACTGGGAGACAGGTACAGACAGTATGAACATTCAGAAAACATTCACTTCCTCTCAAGCAGGACGCAGTCTGACTTTTGGGTGTTTGCGCTCACATCTTATGGCTCTCAATCGGGGTATGACCCCCGGGCTGGCAGGCGGGGTGGTGCTCTCGCTCCCCTGGGTCTTCCTCTTGTCCACACTGGGAGACGCCTGAACTGTGATCTTGTGCTCAAAGCCTGCAGGTGAGCAAGAACAGGTGTTTACATTTATCAGACATTTACATAATTACTAACTTTGGGAACACACAGCCTAGTATGAGCTTCAACACAAATCAGATTTAATCCCAGAGGTGCCCTGGTGTCCACGGCGTTAAGGTGCCCCTTCTCTCTCTCCCCTGATTTCCTGTCAGCTCTATACTGTGTCTCTCTAATAAAAGCCTAGAATATCCAAAAGAATATCATTTTTAAAAAGACAATTGAAAATACAATGTCACCACTATATTGGAGAAACATTTTCATGAAACAGAGATATAACATATTTTGGATTAGAACCGTATTTTATGATCCCGTGAACCTGTTTACATTTCTGGAATCATGTACATTTAGATTTGCACCTTATTGATATTTGTTAATGTATATTTTATGTGTACTTTCCTACTTTGTACTGCAACTGCTGTACAACAATTTCACTTGGAAGAAATTAAGTTTCTTTCTTGTATACTGTGGACGTCTTACATACAATTCTGGGGATTAAGAAACTGATGCTGAATCCATTGATCCATAAAATCCATTGATCAATTAGCAGACCGACAGAAAATTTATTCTTTTCCGATGTCCATGTTTTTGTTTATTTGTTAGCTTCACAAATATACATGCTTCTAAATTGATCTTGTCAAATTTTCAAATAAAATGGTACAAATCTAAAACTGTTTAAACACAATGAATATGAGTTGTCAAAAATTAGGTGCTAGTCATGGCAGTGACATATTTTAAGGAAAGGGTGATGGCACACTAAGGTACAATAACTTAATTTCATCACCAACCACACTTGCCTAAAAAAAAAACGAACAAAACACTGATTATAAAATGAACTCAGTGGAGACGGTGTCTGTTTATCCCTCTCTTCAAAATAAAGTTGATTGAAGTCACATCGACTTCACAGTTTACCGGTGTAGAACTTTATTACTAGTGCTGTCTACGTCTTAATTTTCCAAAAACGCCATGTAACATGAAATAGCATCAAACTGGGAGCTCTGCCAGTTTTGTGCACCTGATTCATCAGTTTAAAACTAGTGACCGATCTGACTGCAGTTCCTCCCTCCACCCACCAGAGGGCAGGCTGATACAGTTGCCGTCTCGGCCCAGCTTCAGTAATCTGCTCTTCTTAAAGTGGCCCTTTCTCTTCTTGACGCTGGGTTTCTCCTGGTACACCTGGTGGATGATGATGTTCAGCTCTCGCTCCACAATGTCAATCTCCCTCTCCGCCAGCTCCTGCTCTCTCCTCCTAAGCTGCTCCTCCTGCTCCCGCTGCTCCTCGGCTGCCCGAGCCAACGCCTCCTCCCAAGACCTCAACTCCTGGAGAGAGGAGAGGAAGAGTGAGAAGGAGAGGAAGAGAGGATGAGGAGGAGAGGGGAGTAGAGGAAGAAGTGAACAGGAAAAGGATGAGGTGAGAGGAAAGGAGAGCAGAGGAAGAAGTAGATAGGATTAAAAGGATGAGGAGTGTAAAAGGGGAAAGAAGAGGAAGAGGAGAGAAGAGGAAGAAGGAGAGAAGAGGGGAAGAGAGGAAGAGGAGCAGAGGAGAGGATAGCAGAAGGTGAGGAGTGCAAAAAGGGAAGAGGAGAAGAGAGGAAGAAGGAGAGGAAGAGAAGAGGAAGAGCAGAGTAGAGGAAGAAGTTCGAAAGAGAGGAGAGAAAAGGGCAGGAGTGGAAAAAGAGGTTGTGAGGGAATGTGGAGGAGAGAAGAGGAGGAAGAGGTTATTAGCACAGCAGCACCTCTTCTAACACCTCTTCTGGCAACAGACTTGCTGCTAAGGTAATTCTAATTTGCAGAAACACCTCAGACAGTAAAATGGTGAGATTCCTCCCAGCCTCCATATGAAATTATCTGCTAAAAAAAACTCAAATAAAAGGCCTCAGAATTACAACTTTTACCTTTTTGGTTAAGTTCAGTGACAGTTTTTAAAACCCAAACCTTACAGTATTCAACTAATAATTCATTCACCTCTGAAAACTTTGTACCTTTTGCCTTTCAACCTAAAGCCAGAATATTATAGCAGAAATGTGTTTCCAGAGTTCATGAGACCTGACTGGACCTGTGTTTTCAGATTTCTCACCTTCTCTTTGGCCCGAAGCTCGTCAAACATCTGCTGGATCTCCAGCCGCCAGTCTTCTTGTAAGGAGTGAAAGGACTCCAGAGGCATCTGAAACATGGCTGACTGCTCGATGGCCAGCAGCCGCCTCAGGATGCTGGTGAAGGACGGCCTGCTGCGGGGGTTCGGGCTCCAACACTCTGAGGGGCAAGAAACAAGACGGAAAGACACTCAAGTAACTCTCTGATTTGCAGTACAGTAACTAGGGTTAGTGTCATATATTATGTATTTTATAGCCCTGATCAGATGTTATACAGTCGTATAAATAAAATCACAAGCAAACATGTCATTACTATTGTAAGTTTGTGTGATGGTTTCATTACATTACATTCATTTAGCAGATGCTTTTGTCACGAGGTTGCTTTCAACCTCCAGAGGAGTAAAACAAATACATGAACTAAATATAAAATAATAAAGCACCTTTATATTTTGCAAAAAATAACTATTTTTTCTGAAACAACTGACTTTGCAATGACTGTGTTTTTATTTATATGGCGATCTTCTTCTACGGTCACTCTATCCACAAACATGGTGCACACCAGTTTCCATTCACAAAACACCAAGTTTACAGCTCACACTGGCCTCCATAAAAAGGCATTTTAGTTGTCAATAACCACACACTACCTGGAAGACTGCACTGAGGCAGTTTCAGCAGACTTCTATGTTTTTCTTATTGTTAACAAATAGAGCTGCAGCGATTAGTCAATTAATCAATTAGTTGTCAACTATTAAATTAAATGGCAACTGTTTTGATAATCAATTAATTGTTTTGAGTCATGTTGTAGGAAAATAAGTAAAAATCCTGTGATTTCAGCATCTCACATGTGAATATTTGCTGGTTTCTTTACTCCTCTTTGACAGTAAACTTAATATATTTGGGTTGTTGACACAACAAGACATTTGCGGACGACATCTTGGGCTTTGGGAAACACTGATCGACATTTTTCACCATTTTCTGACAGTTTATGGACCAAACAACTAATCAATTAATCAAGACTATTATCATCAGATTAATTGATAATGAAATTGATCGTTAGTTGCAGCCCTATTAACAAATCTCATGAAAAGATGATCTTTCTGATTTCCCTACACTGTCTGTAGCACTCAGCCCGTAGCGAATTCCTTCATACTAGAAACCTAAATCTTAAAAGCAGGTCGCAACCATTTAGTTTCTTTTTGAAAAAAATGCTCAGTAATTTCCTAAAAGTAGTAGAAATGCAGTTTATAGCATATTCTACTCAAAGAAGAGTAAATAGTGCATTTGTTGGGGACTATTTTCAGCAGCGGATTAATACACATTTGGGGCTCTAGTGAGTATTTACAGCAGCAGGACGGTGTACTGTATGTGGAATCAACTCAAAATAAACTAGTGTGTGTGTTCATAATGAAGGAACTTGTCACCAGGTGCAGCAGTGCGACTCAATGATGTGTTTTTAATAGTTTGTGGAGAACAATGAAGGTCTATAGCACAGATTAAGGAGTTATAACAGTAATATTCATTGTTGATTTTAGTCTTTTCGGGGGATTTACGCTAAGTATAATTACATAATCATCATTATATGTGCTTGTATAGTTTATATTTTTATTTCTGTTCTTTTTTATTATTATTTATATTTTACTTTTCTCTATGTATCTGCACTTATTTCTGTCCTTGTGATGAACACCTGGATTTCCCCAGTGGGAATCAATAAAGGCTCAATAAATCTTTTCTTATATCATACAGTCAGGTTATCAATACAATTTAGAGAGGACTCAATCCTGAATTTTTGGTCTGGGTATATTTTTGGCAGTAGAGAAGGCAACAACAGAAGTGGAAGTGAGCAAGATGGGACAGCATATGGCAACCATCATGAGCCAAACCCTGACTGACGGTATTGCAGAAACATGGTGCACACCTACAGTAATCTGCTGAGCCATACTCTGATCAGTACTGTCTCTACAACACTGAACCACAGCCATAACCATTAACCAAAACACGCAATTTATGCTAAGAAAAGCATCGACAAAGGCAAAGTACAAAGTGCAACCAGAGAGCTATTTCACAGGCTGAAATTGAGTTTATAGCAGGTAACACTTATTTATTAGTTGACTCAAATTAGCATAAAGAGTATGTGGATAAAGATGGAAGGAGAGGAGATGAAAGTGAGACGATGACAGGAGTAAACAGAGTGAGAGCAGCGAGGGATGTGAAAGGAGAGATTAACGGATGAACATGGATAAGATGAAGTGGAGTGAGGGGGGGGTGAGAAGAAAAAGAGCTTTAGGAGCCGATTGGGAAGGAAGTGGAGGGAGGTGACTGAAGTTGGCTGCTGGGCTGACAGTTTGAGAAACAGCTACCTTTTTTCATACATTAGACGTAAAACTGGCATAGTAGCTTAGGAGTAAGCACATTAAGGCAATTTGGACATAAGGCAGGTGTGTGTTTAAACACAGATGACCTGAACTGTGAAACAAGAGCCAGTTAATACTCTACCACTGTTAACAGAGTGCTTTCAGGATTATTTGCAGGGTGAAAAGGAGATATCCGGCCCAGGGGAGTTCAGGCCAGGACCTCATATGGGTATATAAAAAGCAACTTAATGAAGCTGTTCGTGTTGTGGTGGCAGCCCGGCTGATGGTGAGAGTCCTGGTTTTCTCTCTTTTTTGTATGCGATTCTGTTTTTTCCCTGGTTTTCTCTGTAATCTGCCTGCCTCCCTGTGTCTCCTTGCCCGTGTGTGCTCCCTCTCTTTCTCTCTCCCTCCGCTCCTGAGCACAGCCAACGACCCGCACCTGCACCTCGTCAGCCACCTCCTCCGCCTGCCACACCTGCCAGCAATCAACTCCTTCTCTGCCAGTACTCTCCAGTCAACCCCTGCTTGATCATCGTTGCTCCTAACCCGGTGCCGCAAGTTCTCTCAAGCTCCTGAAATCTCAGTAAATTCTCTAATTTCTCCAGCTCTTGGTTCTTCCCTGTGTCACTAACCCTGTCCTTCTGTTTGTCTCCCCCCAGGTTCACTCACCCTCGTCTCCAGTCAGTCAGCTGGGCTTGCTCACCTGCCCCTTTCCCTCGGACTACCGTCCCTACAGTCCCTCAACCCCTTTTTCCCCCCAATAAAACCTGCCTATCTGAGCATTGCATTTGGGTCCTCTCTGTCCCCACACCACAGCACCGTAACAGTTTGGACGGTCTTCATCCATTTTCTCTCTTCTTCTCAGCACCCAGGTGCAGAACAAAAAGGTTTAAAAATCATCAACCATGAACTCAACAAGTCGAATGAGGTTACAGCATCTTAGTATAAATGTGGATGTAAACACCCAAAGGTCATATTTGATGACTGATGTACAGTCCCAAAATAAAAAGCACACAAAGCAAAACTTGCCGTGAATGAATCGGACAAGTGACACAAGCAGGAGGAAGCCCCAAGGCGAGCCAATCAAAAAACTGTCAAGCTGTTTTCACTGTGGGACCTTCCTGACACAACTTAAAAATCACTTTCTCCTCAATGACAGAAGTATTAACTTATTATTCTTTGGTCCAGTTGGTCAGGCTGCTTACCTCCCAGCAGCTGAGCAAAAGGTTCAGGGCACGTTGAAGGGATGGGCAGTGTTAGCTTGTTCATTGCAACACCATAAGCTACCGCCAGAGCGTCTATCTCCCGGTAGGGAACCTCGCCGGTCAGCAGCTCCCACAGCAACACACCAAAACTGTGACAAGGGACACAGAGAGAAGACACACAAAGAAAATGCCACGTTTTAAGGTCACATCTGACGCCAAAAAAACTATCCTTGAACTGGATGATAATGACTACATCCTATCAGCGACAGAGACACAGTTTAATACTTAAGTCATGACACATGAGCAAACTCTACATGAGACTCTACACAACACGTGATGTTGTGACAGGAAATAATTCCGTTACAGGCAGATTGTCAACATTTTCAACGACAAAGAAAAGTCTGATACGTCTTTTAAATCTGTGATTAAAAACAGAATGCAAAGAAAAAACATGTACACAGCAGTGGTGGAGCCCACTAAGTACATTTATTGCATTATTTATATTATTTATAAGTATTGCACTTAAGTACAAATGTGGGGTACTTTTCGTTTAGTTTACTTGAGTTATTCATGCCACTTTATACTTGTGTTTCACATTTATCTGACAATTACAAGAGTAAAATGCTGCATGAATGCATCAGTAATATTAATCCAATAATATAATTTATAGTCCCCTCTAATAGTATTGGAACGGTAAGGCAAATTCCTTTGTTTTTGTTGCTCACTGAAGACATTTGGGTTTAAGATCAAAAGATGAGTATTAGACAAGAGTTCAGAATTTCAGCTTTTATTTCCTGGTATTCAAATCTAGACGTGTTAAACAACTTAGGACATATCACCGTTGTATTAGACCACAGCATTCTTAGGTGAGTAAAAGTAATGGAACAAATAATCTTAAAGTAAATAACATTTAATATTTGTCTGTCATATATAATAGAATAACAGTTATTGCCTTTATTTGATAGAACAACCAAAGAGAGACAACATATGTAGGAGAGAGAGAGAGGGGATGCAGCAAAGGGCCACAGACTGGAAATGAACCTGGGGTGCTGCGTCAAGGACTTTATGCCTTTCTATATGGTGCTCTACCAGGGGAGCTAATTAATGCCCAGACTTTTCATACTTACGTACATACGTACAGTTTGCTGATGGTACTTATGGACTTTTACCTGTAACAGAGTATTTTCTATATTGCTTGTTACTTAAAGGAGTACTCCAGTGATTTATTATTGTACTTGCGAGCGTCAAGCTTAAAAAACGCTGGATCCTACAATTCCCATAATGCATCTCAGTAACATCTTTCAGTAGCCCCTCCCTGTGTCCTAAATACCCACTTCTTTCAAACACCATACCCCGAGTTTCTTATGCAATGTCACGCTTTACTCAAGGTAACCCTAATGACATCACCATGACATCATCGGGGAGGGGGTTTTCTCAGACTTAAAGGCTCGTGCAGACTAGCTGGTCTCCAAACCACGTTTTGTCAAGAAAACACACATGAAATGTGAAACGGGAAATTACGCGAACCTACACACGAAACAGCTGTTGTTTGTTATTATAAAGAACCAATTATAAAGACAAAAAATATGGGTGAAAGAATGGAGTAGCACACGCAGGTAGCAGGGATTGTCTAAGCTACAGAGAGAGCTGGAGTGTGAGTTAAAAGTGTTTTGCAGTGAAAAAGTAGCTGCCTGCTCTCATTGGCTGGATGTGGATGTCGAGTCGGCCGACTCTTCCAGATATTTGGCATGCTAGATATCTGGCAGACATCTGCGATGTGTCAGAAATATGTTGGGGAGCCGTTTTGATACGTCGTTGAGTAGTTCACACATAATGACTGGCGAATGCAGATCGATCACCGATTTACCTCTCATCACAGCCTGGCGGTCACCGAGCTCGCCAACCGGCAAATCGGGCTAAAAATTATGTATTGTGAATTAGGCTTAAGAGAGCTCCCCCAAAGAGCAACAGACAGCAGAAGACATTATATAGTAATGCTTTCCATTACAAGTAAATTTAAAATTGGTGGAGTGCCCCTTTAAGTAAAGGCTCTGAATACTTCCTCAACCACTGGCTCATACTCAGAATTACATCAAGTATTACAACCCCTCAACTCATGACCTTGAAAGATTAAATGTGACTTTTATTAAATAAATAAATTCTTGAATGTTTTTTTAAACCGAGTTAAACTGAAAAGTTCTCAAAGCATCACAAACGTGTCTGACCAATAAATGACCGATATTCTTTTTACTATAACTCATGTTCACATTGTGACATGTTAGTCTTTCTTGACGGCCTGAAAAAGTTCTTTACTGAATAAATCAGGTGGAATAAGCTGGAGACGAGTGCATTACCTCCACACGTCGCTGCTCTTGGAGAAGAGGGAGAGCTTGATGACCTCGGGGGCCATCCAGGCGTAGGTCCCCGCTGCACTCATCTTGGTGGTCTGGTGCCACTCTCTGGCCAGGCCGAAGTCTGTGATCTTCAGGATTTTCTCACTCAAGTCATCCCGCGCCATTGGTTCCAGGATTAGGACTGGGGAGGAGGAGGAGGAGGAGGAGGAAGGAATGATGGAGGAAGAGGACAGAGACAAAGACGATTTTGTGTTAAAAGATGACAGTGCTGTACACATAGCAAACACCAGACAGCAACATACAAACAAAAAGCTGCTTCTGTGACTTTCAGATTTGTAAATACCTTCTGACAACAGGTGAAACTACAAAGACAGCAAAGAAAGAGCTCAATAAGTCATGAAATATTAAAGCAAAAACCCTGTTTTAAAATCAGTATGAAAAGTACAAATTTCAATTTTGTAAATATAAAAGATTTGCTGAGTTTTTTATGATAGTAAAATGACTATCTTTGAGTTTTTGGAAAAAAAAACAGGCAGTTTGAAGACCTCTACTTGAACACTTTTTATTATTTTTCTGACCTTTTATGAAGCAAACAATTTATCAATTTATAGAAACAGCAAAAAAAAAGGCAGTGCAGATTAATTGACCTTGAAAATAATTGTTAGAATCGTTTATAATGGCTAGGATAGACAGGTAAATCATCTACATTCTACTACACACTCCTATTGATTTATGTCAATTAATATTGTTTTGACTGATGATTTCTAAAAATATGTGTTTCTATATGCAGGAGCTTGATTTTTATTTAATAGGTCCAGTTTCTGGTCCAATTTAAAACTACAAATACCTAAAAATGTGTCACAAAAATGTCCACATTCAAAAACAAAATGTAAAAACACATGTTGAATAACAGAGTCATGTTTACAGTACAGGTGTGGTCAGACCTGTGCTATTAGGTTTCTGCGAAAGGACATCACTTCTGGTCTGTCAGTCTGCAGTGTGTGCGTGTGCGTGTTTTCCATACAGTGACAGCCGACACACAGTATCTTTAATGCTAGCATTTAACCTCATCCCTCCCTCTCTCTCTGTACAACTTCCTCCTTCATTTCCGTGTGAGCGCTGACTATGGAAATATTTGGAGTGTACACAGTTCACAGGCACCGGGAGTCAGGTGGGGGTTGCTTTCTCTCCCTCTCTCACTTTATCTAAAGGCGTATGCAAAGGGTGGTGGAGAGAGACTACATACACACACAGTGGTGTCTTTGTTTACACACACATGCACGCCTGCGCACACACACGTGATAAAGGTGTGTCTCTGTGCTCTGCTCTGTCCACAAGCACGCTAGGAGACCAGTTTCAGTGATAAAGAATTGATCTCGGGCCAGTCTGTACATATTTCCATAGTCAGAAAGAAGTATGCACGTCCTTACTTAACTAAAAGTAGCAATACTACATTGCAAAACTACTCCATTATGGGTATTATTACTGATGCATTATCATTTGAGCAGAATTTAAATGCTGTAGTTGGTCAAGGGGGAGGTTTAACTACTATACATTACAGAAATATTTTGAAAATCAACTACACTTTTCAGTCATTCAATCATTAACATGAGGATTTGATGCTTTTCTTTGTCATATATGATAGTAAACTGAATATCTTTTGGACTGTTAGAAATAAATGCATTTAGCAAGTACTGCGTAAATGCAGTACAATTATGAGGTTCTTACACTTTACTTAAGAATTTCCATTTCTTATACACTTCTCGGTTCAGAAGGAAACAATGTAGTTTTTACTGCGCTACTTTTATATGACAGTTACTGGTCACTTTACTATACAGATTGAGACAGTTTACAGTAAAAAAGACATTTGATAATCTTATAAAATACAACACATAACTAAAGAGGACATTTTACTGCAGAAAGAGTACTTTTACTTTGATACTTTAAGTACATTTGCTGGGGTGTTTGCTGTTTAATGCAGGACTTTTGCTTGTAATTGAAACTTGGGCATGTTTTATTATTTTAGCCCACATCTCAAAAAAACAGTTAATAGAGAAAATAATCTGTGTTGATTTTATATTCTCAAATGTGAATGTTAGCTAGTTTTCTTAGTCTTCTATTAAATTAAATTGAATCTTGTTTAATCTTATCTGAATATCGGACAAAACAAGTTTCAACATCATCACCTTCTCTAGGTAATTATTCACTATTCTCTGAGAGGTCATAGACTATTAAACAATTAATTAATAATAATCAGCGGATTAATCTATAACTAAATTACAGCAGAAGTATAAAGTAGCATAAAATAGGAATACTGAAGTGAAGAAGAACTTCACAAATTGTCTCCAGTTGTCGTTTCTATTCTGTTACTGCTGTTTCTGTGAGGGACAGCTGTCTCCTCGGGGCTAACTCTTTCTGTTTGTCTTTGAAAAGCCAAAGATGGAGTCCAGACAGACTCAGAAAGAACGAGAGGACCGGATGTGTTTGCATGCCTAGATGGGTGTATCCTCCTCACAGTCTGCCTTCCCTGGTTTGTTTTGTGTGTTTAAATATGGAGCACATTTATATGGGGGGAAAGGACATCAGGCCTGTGGGAAGGGAAAGGCAGGGTGGACACAGAGGACAGAAAAAAAAGAGGCTGGTGACAGAGCGAGGAGGAAAGATAGAAACTGTGAGCAAGGCAGAACATCCACCTGCTCCCACCCTGTGCCTGATGTAATTATAACATCATCATGTTACTTTCACACCTCGAGGATGTCTCTGTGCAGCTTCTTAACACCACCTGCGCATGTTCATTCATCCTGCCACGGGTTTTCACTACCGCCAGCATTTCATCCATACGTCAAACACAAAGATCAACATGTTTGTAGCACAGACAAACCTAGACACAAATAACACCCGCGAGGGCGTCAAAGAAAAATGAAGAATATAAATATAAATAAGAAAAAAGCCCTCAAGGACAGTGTGGCTTTTACACAATATAATGCCAGCGCTGTTGGAAATGTTATCTTAAAATAGAAGTCATGAGAAGAAAGAAAGAAATACTGCTGGGTTCCTGGTTACTATAAAGTCTCCCATAGAAACTAGTCTTATGGGAAATATCACTAAAGATACTGTAATCATTTATTATTCTGGGACAGTTTCATATATCATCAGTAATATAACAATTTTACTATGTAATAATAATCAACAATATTAAACGCTCACTGTTTCAGGATGCATTTCAGCATACAGTCGATGGTCCTTTTCTTAGCAAATAATGTCTGTCCTCCAATGAGACCTTTTCTGTGCAAAGCCGACATCAGTCAGACTTGTTTTTATGCCTGTAATCTACAGAGAGCCACTGAATAAATGCAACTTGTTGGGTTTCTGTCACAGAGTACGGTCTAGACCTGCTCTTTTATGAAAAGCGCTATTAGATAACTGTTATTGTGATTTGGCACTATATAAATAAAACTGAACTGAATTGAACTGAATTTAGCGGGTTAACAAGAGTCATGCTAGCAGCTCCGTTAAGGCTCATTGTAACGGAGAAAAACTGAGTGCTAAATTTTTAGCCTCAGTGGTGAAGTAAATGTAAAATGGTAGTAGTTGCCATGCCAACATGCTCACAGTGATTATCTTAAAATGTTCTGTTATAATGTTTTCAGCTGTGTGTAAAGACCTTGCATACAGAACTGTTATGTTTTTATTACCTTAGAATGAGCCATTTCTATCTACATACACCGGGGGTCCTCTTACATGGACGTAGCCATGTTTTGCCATCATGTTTCTACAGTAGCTCAAAACGAACAAACAGTGCTACAGAGCGTACGTTCAAAGTAATAATATACAGCAGAGGTCAGCAAATAAGATTTGCATCGGAGGAATTTTTTCATTCATTAGATGGTGGGTGAGAACATTAGGCATAATATTTAAACTGAATGTTAAAGTGTTCATTAGTTCAATCGGTAAAGTGCAAGACTCTCATCTATAAGGTTGGGAGAATTTTTTCCCACCTCTTCAATAAATAATTATGAAGTGACTGTTTATCATGCTCACAATAAAACAGTGTGTGTGTTCCGGTGTTTGATCAGCATCCATCATCCAGGCAGAGGACATTTAGGGGAATCACGTTTTTGACGGCCCTTTCAGAGGTGTGTCAAGCACACAACAGACTCTTTTTAATGTCCTTCTGAATTTTTCAAAATAAAAGCTCACAATTCAACTCGAAATAAAGCATTGCTGCAAAAAACATTCTTGTGCTTTTATTTTGCAAGTAAAACCACTAAAGAGGAAGTGATTATGTCAGTAACAGTTGCTGTCATGACTGAGATCTATTTCAGCTCTGCTATCAAAGTGTTCATTTATTTGTATTTTTTGCTGCTATCAAAGCATCCTAATCTGGCAGCTGATCAGATATTATTGCTGGCGGGTGTTTTGGCGAGGGTCTATAATTACAGAGAGAATTAATTTGTTTCCCTTGTCAGTGTTTGTATCTTTATCTATTATGTGGTTTATAATGAAAAGTGCTGCAGAAACAGTGACAGTAGTACACACTCTTTGCTTACATTTTCCATGGCCAAGTCACATTAACATATGGTTTTACTGAATAATTAAGTCAATATAATTTCTTAATATATCTATCTAAAGAAACCTCATTTCTTGACTGGCTACTCTCTGCTGTCTCAGATGACGTCATCTTTTATCCTGTGTCAGCTACCATAGTGAATTCTGGGTGAATTCTGGGTTGTATTCATTTTTTTCCTGTTTTGATGTTTTCATGGGTTTGGTTTTGGGTTCTGTGTTTCTGTAGTTTGTTTGATCTTGTCTTGGTTTGGGTTTTATTTTAGCATCTGTTCCATGTTTAGTGTCAGTACTGCCTGCCTGGTGTTTGTTGCTCTTTGCCAGTATTTAAGACCTCAGTTCTCTTAAGTCCTTGTTGCGTCTGATGTTGAGTGTTCCTTCCTGGTTCTGTCCTGCCTATCTTTTGGATACTCCACTCTGTTTTTGGATTTACTTTGCCTTTTTATTACCCCCTTTGTTTGGATTCCTGTCTTGTGCTCCATATAAGCCTGTTTCAGTTTAGTTTTTGTTTGAATAAACCTTTTTGAACTGCATCCTCCTCGCCTACTTCTACATTTGGGACCACACCTCAGTTTCTCCTGTCACTGCACTCAGCCTTCCCATGACACATAGCTA